TGTTACCGGTGAACGAACCAAACAGCACCTTATATATCACAATACATCGGCACCAATGGGAAGAGGACCAGAATTTTGGCGACCCATATGCATTCCTTGGAAAGGGGCATCACTCCAGTATTGAAACAATCATGAGTCTGACATCTAAAAATATGGAGTTGATTTCATAGTTGATTGTGGGCCAAAGTAAAAAAAAACTAACCATTGCAGAGGAATTAGTTGGCATTGCAAATAAGGCCCTGTTTGGTTCTGTAGTCCATGGACTAAAAGTTTTAGTCCACTTTAGTCCATATGAACTAAAAATGGATTAAAATGGTGTTTGGTTCTTTAAACTAAAATGGACTAAAGTGGAGAGAGAGAGAGCAATAAATGAGAGGCATGGGTGTCCCAACACCTTTTAGTCCATTTTAGTCTAGTTTTATGGGCTAAAGGACTAAAGGATTTTAGTCCACTTTTAGTTAAGTATTTGACTGTTTAGTCCCACTAAAGTGTAGATTTTAGTCCAAAATACTTTAGTTGATGAAACCAAACATACCCTAAGAAATAGGCCTCTTAAATCTAATCTAATATCTCTATATAGTTCCGGTACCCACTAGCAATTTTTAATTCTCTTAAAGCTCAAACATTTTAAACTTTGACTATAAATAATTTCTTTTTGTGAGTTTGAAAATCTAAAGTGATGTAAGTAGATTCATCTCAAATGTAGTTTCATAAAAGTATATATTGACTATATTTTATAGATATTTTATAGCAAAAAGTTGCAGTCAAAGTTGTTTCTTAAAAGTTTGGCTTGTTGTCCAAAAACGACTTGCTTTATATAGAACCGAACAAGAGATAGTTTTTACCCACTAGCAATTAATTCTCCATAAGCTCAACCATCGTGCTGCCACGTCACCTCTATTTGTACTGCTTCATCTACCTCCGGCTGCCATCTCTACAGCTCCCACTCAGCACTGCATGACACTATTGCTATATCGATTTCTCTACCACCACTGCAACAATTACTGCACCTAAACTGTCACGGGAAACGCATATGGAAGAAACTGAACCATCGCAGCTGCCTTCACGTTTATAATAGCTGAAGAAACTGAACCATCACCACTGCCTTCACGTTTATAATAGCTGTGTCTGTGTGTGTATGCCTTCCTCCGCATGCCCACAACAAGCACCGTGCCTCTCCTCAAGCACTGCATCGGGGTCACGCCCCATGCTTTCCTCGAGCCGGAGGCATCGCGTCGTGCCTCTTCCTCCCGGTGCCAACGGCCACCCATGACGCACCCACCCCCTTTCTCCCGGCACCGGCGGTCACCCATGCACCCCATGTCCTGTCGGGGCTCAGTGGTCCGGACTCCTTTCGCAGCACCGATGGCCACCCGTGATGCGGCCCTTCCTCTTGAGTAGATGTCCACTGCGCCGGTGGCAACCTACCCTGCTGTATCGGTGGCCGGGACATTTTTCCCAGGGCCTAGCACTGACAGCAACCTGGACCCGATCGGCTGGGGTTGGCTGGCCAGCCCCCTTGAATACTATTCACATAAATAGTACTTCTCTCTCATATATTTATATAAGAACGATACGAACCAAACAACCAAACACGAAATTGTTCAGACGTCATCGATTCTCTTGCTTATATCGGCAGAAAATACTGCTGGCTGGTTCATGTGCTGCCGGGCTGTGATGGAATCATGGAACAAAGAGAGAACAGAGCAGGTGAGGAGACCCCTCGAAATAGCTGCTATCGGCTCCAGCTGGACCAATGCTTTTCTCTCCTCCGTGAAAATCTGACATTGATGCTGTAGCTAGCTAATAAAGACACACACCATTGCTGGACCGCTTTGCTTTGGACCTTTGGTCGGAACAGAGTACCATGCAGTCAACAATAAATTTTTTAATTAACCGTAGCTATATCATTTTCTTCAATAAGTTTGTTCACAGGCTTTCAAGAACCATCGACCCTCTAAATAGAAAACTTTAGTTTGTGCCATATACTGCACAATATATTATGGGTTCATTTATAGGATCATGTATTTACGTTTTAAGCTTGGGTATTTCACATGATATCTACGTGTAATGTGAATACTGCTATATTATAACTTTTTCCTTTTCTACTAGAGCCATCTGTGCTGCAAAGCTTACGGATTATGCGTAGCAGCGTAGGTCTATTAGAGCATCTTCCGGACACTCTTTATCTTTCCTAATTTTTAGGAATAGATATTTTGGCGAAAAAAATAGCCTCCAACAGACTCTTTAATTGGATATCCAAATATAGATATCATCTATTCTAAATTTCTCGCTAGCCAAAGATAGAGAGCGAGAATAACTCTCTAGACTACGCACAAGATATAGAAAAGCTATTGTAGAATACACAAATATAAAAATGATTTTTACTCGGATGACTCTCCAAATGATGTTTTAGAGAGTAGATTTTAGAAAGTCTCTTGGAGATGCTCTTAGAATGAATTTGGTTACAATACCTATCATCCATAAATTAAATTGTTAACTTCATATATCATCAGGAATATTCACATCTTTTATTCATCAAACATTCACTTAATTGATCGAAAAAAATCAAACATTCATTTAAATTGTAACCTCAAGTTCTCGCACCAACGCGAGGGGAATTCAACTAGTTCAAGTTCAAGATGACTCAAACTTAGATGATCGTGTATACTGTATACATCCACACCCTCCCAGTGACTAGTTCCTTTAATTTAATTTGGGGCAAGGTCTAGCTATGTTTAATTTAATTTCATCATTAGGGTTGATAGCATTTTCTGTTAGATTTATTTCACTTAGGATCTTCTAGCCGAATTACAAGAACACCTAATTACCCAAACTAACTCTGAGTTCTTCTCTTACCCAATAGGTGTAGATGCGCCCCTATAGGGCTGCTAACGCCTCAGATCAGTGCCAACATTTTTAACTAGTTATTAGCTTCATGCATGCTTTTTATTTCACAGAGAGGAAAGAACAAAACGGATGTAGCCACCACCGTGGAGTGCTACATGAAGGAGCAAAATGTCACAAGCGAGGTTGCCCTAGACAGGATTGGGTCCCTTGTTGAGGATGCATGGAAAACACTAAATCAAGCACTCATTGAGAATCATGCTCTACTTCCGGTTGTGCATCGAGTCACCAACTTTGCAATGAGCATGATGGCAATTTTCCACGGCAAGATAGATCGTTATACAAACAGCGAGGAACTCAAGGAAACGTTGGAAAGCCTATTCGTCAAGCATATTCCCCTCTACTAGCTAGCGGGAGTACGACTGCAAAAAAGAAAAGTTCATCTCTTGAGAGTGACGCACGATTCAAATAATATAATCTCTCGGTCTAGCTTCATACATATATGTTTTCATAATAAAAGGAACATATATTTAGTATTTCTATGGGTTGCTTACCGTGCCATCTATGTTGTGTGTAATATGTATGTATGTAATATACAAACCTTGATAAACATGAGGATGTAGCCACTGTACTGCATGGGAATCTATATATTGTTGTGTTTGTTCTTATGTATCTTATTGTGTTGTGTTGATGTCGTTCTTAAACTCATAATAGAGCTAGATTATTTTTTGTCATGCTAGCTTTGCTAAAAAAAAATATGAGGCATATGTTAAGACTAAAACATAACTCATACAAGGTTTTCAATAAGCACCGTACACTATCGGGTGCAAATTAGCGAGAAGATGGCACGAAGATCTTACAGAAAAACAAGTCAAACAGAGAAGGGCAAAAGAAAATGCAAGGATCGGATGATCTGTTGGTAAAGGAATTGCAAGCACTATAGAATTAAACTCACAGTGGAGTACTCAGAAAAAATGAGGATGCACCAGATAAGTGTTCAATTAGAGTTGAAAAACGTTGCCTCTTCTATAAATGCAGGGTTTTCCTCCGTCAAAAAAATTAGAGTTGAAAAGTCAAAACATATGCATCGCATCCTCTATCTCGCACACCGTTCATGATACTGTTCATCAAAACAGTTTTTCTCTCTTCTCCAAATAAACTAGGAGGCGAAAGAAATCCCTTTTTTTCTAGCTCCGGCTTTTGGTCACAGTAACACGGAAGCTTGGAGTCCAGCCAGACAGAGCTTTATATTTATCTCCAGTCCTGAACCCAAATGGCCAAATCTCCAATCGGATCGCAGCCGGCAAGCCATAAACATTCATGTTGTTCGTTTGCCTGCGACTTGTCGTAAACGATCGTAAATTTCCAGCTGAAATAGTATTTTTCTCTCACACAAACTAGTCAAGCGGACTTCTTCACGAACCAGCATCAAAACGAACCAGCCAACCGAACAGACTGATTACCAGCAGATATTCAAATCGGGGACGACTCGGTTGGGACCGAATTGGAGAGCAATCCGACTTGGAGGTGGAAGAGAAAATTTTGGGGGGTGTTTAGTTACCCCAAACTCCTGAATTTGGCACTATGTAAAAAGAAGATTCCCGTCACATCAAATTTGTAAACTTGCGGTACATGCATGGAGTATTAAATGTTGACGAAATAAAAAACTAATTGCACAGTTTGATTGTACTTTGCGAGACGAACGTTTTGAGCCTAATTAGTCAATGTTTGAACAATTATTATCAAATACAAACGAACACTACAGTGCGCTACAGGAAATTCGGCGTCGCCGAATCGGCGAACTAAACAAGGCGTTGAATCGAATTCGGATCGTCGTATCGGATGGCAATAACTCTTTGTGGTCGAGCAACGCCAAATCTAAGGCCCCGTTTAGATAAAAAAAATTTAGATTTTGGTTCACTGTAGCATTTTATTTGTATTTAGTAATTAGTGTCTAATTATGAACTAATTAGGTTCAAAAGTTCCGTCTCGTAATTTCTTACCCAACTGTGCAATTAGTTTTTTTTCGTCTACATTTAGTACTCCATGTATGTACCATAAGATTCGATGTGACAGATACTGCGTACATTTTTTTGAATCTAAACAGGCCCTAGAGGGCTTGGCTGTCGTGACTCGTGAGCTACAACGACATGATGGCGGCGGAGAAGCTCGTACTGCTCGCGCAAGACGACAAGACGGTATCCCTGGCCGTAATCCCGGCGGCCGCGTCAGAGGCAGCGGCCACTTTCCGGCTCGTCGAGCAGAGGTACCGCTCCGGAGGCGACGTCAACGACAACGAGGTGGACACAATGGAGGACGTGGCGTGCCGCTTCCCCGTCGGCGAGCTGCGCGCGGCGGCGGTCGACCGCGCGTTCGAGGACCTGATGGCCAGGATCGACCACCCGACGCTGAGACCGGAGGTTGCACCGGCGGCAAGGGAGGCGGCCGCGCGCGTCCGGGCGAGGTACGCGGAGGAGTGGGCTCAGCTCGGCGGCGTCGAGTTCCGCCTCCGCTTCGAGTTCGTCGACTCGCTCGAGCCCGAGGAGGAGACGGGGAGCGACCTGGACCTCGACGAGGTGTCCTGGGAGCGCGGCTGCTGGTCGGACGGCGGCGACTGGCGGCATGACCAGGACCCGGCCGCCCTCATCAGCGACGACGAAGTCGGCGCCCAGTTCTCGGCGCGGCCGTACGGCGGTGCCATCGCGCGGGAGGGCGGGCCGAGCGACGGGACGCTGCTGCTGTCGGGGTTCGAGGCGCGCGCCGATGGCCCCGAGCTCGCCGACCAACACGAGCTGACGTCGCGGGACGTACAGCGCCTCGTGCGCCTCGCGTTCGACGGTGGGGACGTGGAGGGCGACGACGCGTACCAGCGGGCGCTGGACGGCGGCGCGCCGGTGTCTCGTGTCACGCGCGCTGTCGTGCACGACCAGGCGTTGCGGTCGGCCACGGCGACGGCGAGGCAGCAGCAGCCAACGTCGCCAAGAGGGATGCCGGCTCGGATGCGCACGGGATAGTAGGGATGCACGCTCGCACGGCGACACAAGCAGCGGCATGGGTTTCTTTTCAGCTTCGCAGCGATAGGTTTGCATTGTATTATAAACTCTTTCGGCATGGGCACGTAGCTTACGCAAAAACTAACGGCCGGGAACGGAACTCTCGTATTGTTTTATAAACTCTTTCTTCTAATACAATAATACGTACACTCATATGTATTTGAGAAAAAAAAAGGTTTGCATTATCCAATGTTTGAGCTTTTTTTTTCTCCTCACATCAGTTGTCATATTCGGATCGGATTTTTTTTTTTGTACAAACAATGCCATGCATCTCCAAAGTATGCAGTGCACTTGTCTGCCCGGCGGCCACAAAATCCCCCTCCAGACAACGTCGGCGGCCACGAAATCCTCCTCTGGACGGCGGCAGAAGATGGCGCGAAGGGAGAAGCAGCTCCAAAATGACGACGCGAAGAAAATAAAATCACGCGAGGAAGGATACGTGCGAGGGCCAAGTGCCAAAAGATCACGATGAATTAGGAGTTGTTGGAGAAGAATTTTTTCCAATCTTACTAAAAAAATTAGGATTGAGAAAGCTTTTACCCTCGGTCTTACCACCTCGATCGAAAATATAAGTTCTATCTTTAGTTACGTATGTATAAAAAAAATATATTATACATTAAAAGCATATAAGATTAATGATATCTGATTTGTATGAAAAACAAGAGGCACTTTTAATTAAACTCATTTGAATTGTCATTTAAAAAAATTTGTTCTCTATATGTTTCCACACTCCAGCAAAATCTATATTTCTATCCATTAGGAAGGATATTAAGACGTTACTTGGATGTTTAATTAATGCTAAGACAAGAATTGAGTGGCCTTTACATTCTTACCCAACCGCTCTTAATTGGTCACTACAGAAGAAAAGGCAGCAGTAGTCAGTCATGGGTGAAGCAAACAATATTGTATATCTGTTACATTAGCCATGTAGAAAACTAGTCATATTTCGGGTCCGTTTGGTCCGTTTGGTTGAGCTTTTGGCTTTTGGCCCCAAAAGCTAAAAGCCCAACCAAAGATACCGTTTTTTGAGACTGCTTTTTCAGAAGCAGCTACTTTTTCGTAGTACATTTTTAAAAGCTGGTTTGACCCTACTTTTATCTTTCTACTTTTCAAAATTGGTGGAATAAAAAGTTCTTTCATAGTTATTTCAAGAGAGATAAAGATAGAAGGTATATTTTATACTTGTTTAACCAAACAGCTTTCAGCTTTTCTACAGCTCATAGACCACAGCAGCTTTTCCACAGCTCACAGCCACATCCACTTTTTTCCACAGCCACAGCTCAACCAAACACACCCTTCATATGCTATGCATAACAAGATGAAAATTTCCAGGTCCAAAACAGGTAAGATGTACAAATTACGCGAGGTAAGAAGGTCTCCAGTATTTCTGGCGAAAAACTGTGGAACCAGGAAACTAGCAGTTTAAATACTGTAACCTAATACAAAAACAACTACAATTCACACCAGCTTCCGTGAAAAAAATATGCCGCGTCCAAACACCTATAGCAGCTCATCGATCTGATCAAATTTTGTAGAACCACCGATCCATTAACTTTGTCGTCACTTGGTAAGAGCTTCCATAGCTTCAAAGAAGAGAGGAACCATCTCCCTGTTTGGAGTTTTGACTGCACACTTCACACCAGGAACACCAACAGCGGCTGTAACCTCTATAAGGAAGGGGATTCCGCGGGGCATCTTCGCAGACAGATACAGAACATCCATGTTTGCATTTTTCCGCTTGGCTATAAAGAACACATTTGATGCTGCAAGGCGCTCAACAGTAGCATCTATGCTGCTGATGACAGAGCCCGGGAATTCTTTTGTAAATTCGTGGTCATCAGGTAAAGATTTCCAGGCCTGCAGTCAGATAAAATCACTTCAAACTTCATATGAAAAAACCAAACATCGGTAATCAACTGTTGAGTCACTTAAATCAACTAGTACTGTGAGCAATGCACAATCACTCGCCTTCACTGCCCAAACAAGAAAAAGAAACAGGAAAACCACACAAACATGATTGCACTTTTTACCTCAAGAAAACCAGCTCGCTCCATTTTTCCATCTTCACCAAAGAAAACATGCAGTGGAATTTTGTCATTGAAGTACCACACCGGCTGCTGATTATTTTTCACAGCAACCTGTAATAGCGAGTTTGGTGCACCAGGGCTGATATTCTGGAACGGGATCATTTGTAGAAGTGTCCTTGTTGATTGGCCTGGTTGCAGTGGAGTAACCTTAATCACAGAAAAACATCAAGCTCAGTCCATGAAACTCAAACAAAAAAGTTGGTGTAACTTATTGAATAGAATCACTGTGGAACCTGAAGTGCTTCACCAGCAGCAAGACCAAATGTGTTCTTGTTAAACTGAATCATAAATCCATCTAGGACACCCGGGGTGCCATTCTCGAAAGATATATCATAGTATATCTGGCCATCATGCCGCGTTAGTTGTGCACTAATCTGCAGCCCTTGGCCTGTAGTCGAAGGCAGCAAGACAGGTAGAGGAGGGCTGCGAAAGTAAAGAATGAGATATCAATATGGTCAATTACTTGTACACGATACACAAAATTGATAAGTACTAGGGTACAAATCGGGGGGGCAACAAAACTTTGCTTACCCGGAAAGTGCTGCAGGTTCGTCAACAGGGACAATAGCATTGTCCATACCCATCAGATCACCTAAAAGGTCTGGCATTGCAGCTGGAGGTGGGGATGCAGCTGCCGGCTGTTTCACAGGTACATTAGAAGAAGTACCAGCACTAGAGGAAGGTGATGCCCCATCAACTCCCTGGGATGGGGACTCTGAATACCCTGTTTCAGCTGTATCACCAAACTCCTCATCATCAGCCCTAGGAGCTGCCTTAACACGGCTGACAAATGATTCTGGGGGCTTATGATAAACTGATGAAAGGGTAGAAATGTTTGCTAGCAGCTCATCAAGAAGTGATGAGTCAAGCTGGTTGGAGTCATCACTGATCACAGGTTTCTCCGCCAAAACAACATCTTTTGCAGCCTGCGGAAAGCCAAACACAGCTCAGTCGTTGGGTGGATATTTAATAAATCATCAGTTGAAAAGTTGAGACATGCAATACCTCAGGATCAGTGGAAAGAAGTCGCCAGTATATGTAAGCTCTGTCCCTCAAATCAGGATTATCTGTTTCAACTGTTGCATTATTGAGAACAGCCTACAGGCAATAGTTATGCAAATTAGCAGTGAACTGGCGTTGAACAAGATTGCTGATCACAATATTGAGGATGAACCAACATTTAGAAGCAAGGAACTATAGGACGAAGCAACTACTTGCAACAACAATCACCATTATTAACAGTGCTCTCAAGACATCAACATGTCATCCATGCAAGGCTGAGAGCCCATGATACCAAATAGGTAAATATTCAGACACTTTGAAGGCTTGAACCAAGTGGAAAGCTGTCATGAACTCAAAGATCTCTAAAGTCTAAACAACATTGCAAAGATAAGTAAACAAGTAAGCATCTGAATAGCAACCTGTATCATCTGTTGTGGCCCCTCAGTTGGCTTCTTAAGGAACAATTTAACAGTAGCGGTTAGCAGCTGCAGTTGAACTAATGCTGGTTCTTCAGGGAATGTTTCCAAGAAGCTCTCAAGAAGTTCATCAGCATTGTCAATTCTTTCAGCATATTCTCCAATTATCCAAATCATGGATGCCTAGAAAAATGAAGACACGTAAGTGAACAAAAATAAAATAAGTATCCTAACAAAAATACAATAAATTACTAAGATGTGTGCATTGACTAAGACCTTAGCTTCTGGTTCATCTAAAGTGTCCAGACTTTCACAAAGTGTAGCGATGATAGACTCATACCTGTAAATTCAGTAAGAACAAAACAGTTATTACATACACAAACCATTTCTTGTACAGAACAGAAAGGGAGTTCTTATAGTTTGATAAATCCAAAATATACAACAAATTAATGCAGAAGCAACTCACGTGTTAGGGTAGCGTCTGAAGATATCTTTGATAACAATTATAGCTTCCTGAACAACATAATTAACTTTTATCTTAATCAGCTCAAGCAAAACGCTGATGCACCTTTCAGCAGCTCTCTCCAATTTAATTGCACATCTCCCAATCGCACGAACAGCTTTCCGCACAAAGTCAACATCAACCTCTGTGGCATACTCCTTAAATTCCAAGAGCACCTACAAGAAGCTCTGTCAACACTTGAACAGAGAGAAGTCACCCGGTACCAACAGAACTCAGAGAGAAGTCACCCGGAACCAACAGAACTCTTAAGTATCTCATAATATAAACATGTTTGACAGATTTAGCAATTGAATTTCAAAGTCTAGGTATTTAAACACTGTCCCTGGAATGATTTCTCTTGTCAATTTCTGTACTTCTCTATTGTATGAGGTCGCAAATAAAAATAATAAATTAAAACTGTAGCTGAAAATAATCTTTGACTTCAATCAAACATGAGCTACAACAGTAGCATACAACAAAAATATTTGATTCTGTACCTGATCTATATTTCGATCTGAGGCAAGCTTTATCATAATCTCCAGTTTTTCCATCTTAACATATATAGGGTCATTGTACTTGCAAAAGAAAACCTATAGACAAATGCACTATTCAGTTAGTGGAACACACTGATATGATTGATGAATAAGAGCTAAAAAAATGTCACCTTAATCTCATGAGCGAGTATTGTAGGCCTCTTTTGAACTATCAGATTAATGTTCCTCAAGGCTACATACTGAATTTCAGGCTCTGCTGACAAAAGAGTCACAAGAGGGGGAGCCATTTTCTTACAGAGATTCCTGACTACATCCGTGCTTGTAATGAGCTCCATTTGTAGAAGGATTATCTAAAATCACACAGAAAAAAAAAACATTAATAAAAGCTCCCATCTGGTACAGAACAGAATAACAAATAGGCTAAGATTTTAAAAAGAAAGAACCAACAAAAGCATTTCAAAAATTGGAAAAAAAAAAAAAAAGAAAATGGTGCTTTGTTAGAAGCTACTCCCTCCGTTCCAAATTATAAGACGTTTTGGCTTTTCTAGATACATTGCTTTCTTTTACTACGTATCTAGACATAGACATAGTAAAAAAGAAATGTATCTAGAAAAGTCAAAACATCTTACAATTTGGAATGGAGTGAGTACATGACATCAACTAGTCTAATGAGTAATGACAGTTCTTATAGAAAAAAAATAGTCTAATGACACTCTACCAGTAGTCCTATTGACTTGAAAGGTCAAGAAACAAAAAATAAATCCATGGCAAGGGTTCATTGGTTCCAATAGTTCATCATGATATGAATTAATGTCAAACCAAGAAACAAGCCTACAGTCCATGCTACAATGCAGTGATGACTCATGAGGACTGAGAAGCTCATCTATATAGACCTCGCTAGTCAAGTAGTCATAGTAAATTACAGTTACTGAAGAAGCACATAAACAAAACTGCACAAGGCCTAAACTTTATGATATTCCCGCAGATACGAATCAGATAATAATGTACCTTAACAGCAGAAAGAACAACTGCACAATTTGCATGTTGGAGACGGGGTGTAACTCGTTCCACTATGTTTTCAGCTTCCCTGGCATCAGCTGCTTTGTATCTTGACAAAGAATCCAAAATGAAGACTTGACCCCACCTGATTAACAAAATGTTAAAGGGCTTGATTTAGGTAAATTACCAAGATATTCAAAACAAAATATAGCCAAGGAGCGCGGCGTACTCTGTGCATTCATTCAGAGCTGTCAGAAGCTTTGACAGTGTATGGCTGCTGATCTCAAAGATTGGCCGAACACTACTATCTTGAATCTCTGCCAGCGCAGCAACAGCATTTGCAACAACCATAGGATTATTGTCAGATATTAAGTCCTTAAGGGCCTCCAGAAATCCTCTGTCCTCTACTAGCTCAGCGTTTATATCATAAAGTTTAGCAACGCAAATAGCTGCAGTCTTCCGTACATAGGGATCGTCATCCTGAGGGAACAATTTACATATAATGTCAATTAGATCATTAGATGGAAGAGGGATCAGCTTGATTCAACAATGTTCTAGAAGAACGAAGAAAGACCTTGAGGCATCTTTGAAGTGGATCACAGAGATACTCTGTGATTTTGTCCACACGGATACAACCCATTGTCCTAACAGCCAAAGCACGAATCAATGGGTTTGGGTCTTGTGAATCCTGCAGATGGTGTTGTGTCTCTGATTATATGATATCGATAGGTCCTATATTTTGCATACAGTAATCTTCTTTTCCTGCACAAATGTTAATTGCAAGTATGGCTAGACTTTCTTACCTTAACAAATGTGTTCACAGCAAGAATGGCAAGATCAGGTTGACTTTTAGCATAGTTGATGAGATACAAGTATACTAGTTTCTTGAGCTCCAAGTTCTCGGTCTGCATGCAGTTCACAACATCAGTGAACAATGATGAGACATCTTTTCCTACAGTCATAGCAGCAATCACTTTCTTGACAGCATCTCTTCTCTTGTCCTGCAAACCACATTTCGGAAAAGGTCAGATATCAGGAAAACTGGAAATGCGAAAGGGGCGTACCCAGTGCAGAGAGCTCCCGCTCTGTGCGGGGTTTGGGGAAGGGTGTCAATGGCAAGCCTTACCCTCGCCTGTGCAATGTGAGGAGACCGCGACTCGAACCCGGGACCTTCCGGTCACAGGCGGTAAGACTCTACCGCTTGCACCAGGCCCGCCCTTCGCAGCAATGTAAGTAATAGTTCTAAATTGGTTTCCTTTCGCAGCAGGAACTATAATTTAACATCACCACAATTATGTAGTACTTAATTTGACCAAAAGTGTAGATGGTCCAACTACCACATTACATAGTACACTTCGCCCCCATAAATTTCAACAATACAGCCTAAGTGTACATAAATTGGAAAGATGAATTTTATGATTTATCATAAACCAACTAATCCTATGACACAGTGACGGCGTGTTGTGTGTGCCTCTCTCTTGCATGTGTTTTCAATGTTTCTTTTAGACATACACATCATTTATAGTATATGTGAAACTCTTCGATGTGTAGCCAAAAAGGACAAGTAGATAAACAGGGAGTCAGGGAGACAACTTTTCGGCATCACGACGGGGTGTAAAAGGGAGCATAAATTCACTAAACACCAAAGCAAAAAGGTGTAGCACGTACGTTCTTACAACATGGAAAATCAGTGAGATAAAACTAGAACGCCTTACTGTGTAAATATTTCACACGACCGCAACTACGCACAATAGCATATAGATCAATAACTAAAACAAACACTGAGAAACAAGGTTTAGTTCTAAAGCATTCGCAGTTTACAACATGAGAATATATTGGAACATGGAAGCAATTAGAACATATTATTATATATGAATGTGTTTGCTAATCATGTATATGTGGGGATAAAAATAATATATCTGAACATAGCAGAGGTAATGAACTGCACTAAATTCCATAAGCATGCATTTCGCAACTTCTACACTAATTGAAAGGAATTGATCAATGGTCAACAGCTTAACTCCCTGTTAATTCATCTTGGCATAGGATGAAAGAATGAGATGATTCAAAGCTGTCCCTACTAGTCCTCAGAGTCAAGTTTCAGAAGGACCAGAGTTCAATCCATTCATATGCTCCAATTCAGACCCGTTTCAGTCCGAACAGGTCTAACGCAGCTTGAACACCCCGATCCAGCACTGAATTCTGCAGATTCCAGCTCATTCGTAACCAACATAAGACAGAAATGTGCACTTCCGGCGCAAAATCCATCCCACAACACGACCAAACCCCACGAGAAAAGCAGCCGAGATCCGTAGATCTAGGAGTAGACGCGCCTGAAGCCCCAACAACGTCGCGCCCGGATCTGGATCCACGCGCGAACCAATCGACAGGCGCTGCAGGGCACAGGAGGAGAACAAGGTAAAGCGAGTGAGGGCGGAGACCTTGTACTGGGAGTTGAGCTCCTCCTTGAGCTCGGGGATCTCCCCCTTCTTGGTGGTGGAGAAGTACTTGGAGTCGTGCCCGCTCATCTCGTTCGCCCCGGCGAGCCGAGCCTACCGTAACCCTGTGCACGACGCTCGCCGCAGCGGCGCCGGTGGTCACGGGTGTGGAGGCTTGTGATCTCGCGCGCGGTGGCGGTGGTTGGGGAAAGGAGAGGCTGGAAAGGAGTTCGCAGATTTTGTCGATTTGAGAGATCGAGAGAGAGGGGTCGTCGACGACGAAGGACGGTGGAGATCTGATCGGCAGCTGCCGTGCCGCTTAATCATTTTCGTCTTCTTTTCTCCCGACTTTTTTACCTTCACATGTATTAGCTACAATGACTTTCAAAAAGAATTTTTCATAAAATCACATATGACTTTCAAAAGAAATCTTACATGAAACAGGACCCTACATCTCTACATATAAAAACTGCATTAAAGCTTCAAAATTCAAAAACTTAGAAAAATAATTAGTCAGCATGCAAATATGGTATTTTTGTTCAAAATATTCATCAAAAATAATAATTAGATACAAACGTGGTTTTTCAGTTCCTTGTTTGAACTAACATCGTTTTTTCGTGATTTTTATTTTCAGCTTATTAGAACTAACATGTTTTTTTTATCATGCTTTGTTTATTTTGGACAGTGTATTGTAAGGCAAAAGAAATGCGATCAAACCATGGCAATCGTGTATTAAAATTTGAATGGGTATATAGTCCATCAAATCATACATACCTATTTCAAATGAAAAGATATTAAAATGTTTAGTGCAACCTGAATCTATCTTATCCTGAATGTTTAGTGCTCGAGGACTATTTAAATGTTTAGTGCTCGAGGACTATTAGGTTTTGGTATCAAACAAGCTCTTATAGTGATTGATATAGGGTTTGTTTGGTAGAGCTCTATCTAATCCTGAATCTCTATGGAAGCTTTGAGAGAATTGATTTTGTGGCTGAAAGTAATTCTATTTGATTTTTTAACATAAACTCTCAAAATCATGATGGAGATCACTCCACAGAATCAGGAGAAGCTATATTTTCAGCTCTCAGGCTCTTAGTTCATTTCAGAGAATCACTTCACGGAATCAACAGAAAATCACTTTTCTCTGAAAAAATATTTGGCAGAGCTCCTGCTCGATTCAGCAGAAAGAATCAGCTTTGGGAGCTTTGCCTAACAGGGCCCTAGTCTCACTCATTGCTGTTGTATGACTTGCGGAGAAAGGAAGGTGCCCCAACTGCGTAAAGAGCTCGAGCTAGGTTGTCTGGGCTAGCCGTAATTAAATTTAATTTGAAGAACATCCATGGGACTAAGTAAATTAATAATCTTTGAGCATGTCATGATTGTATCGAAACTTATTTATCAACTACAACCTCTATTTACAGACCGAGTATAGCTCAAATGTGGGTGCTCACACTTTTTTTTTTTTTGAATTTCAACGAAACTACTTTCAGTGGTAGTGTTGCAGGCATTATGCCCTTGAGAACCAGGAGTGGTAACTTTTTCAATCTCGAGATATATCGACTCAATCGTTCGAAGGTATTCATAGGGAGAGTATGTACCTGTACATTATAGAGGTGCTTGAGAACCAGGAGTTTATGGTGATTTTTTCAATCTCGAAATACATTGACTCAATCTTTCAAAGCTATTCATAGGGAGAGTATGTACGTGTATTTATAGATGTGAGTATGTACGAATGCTTGACTGCGATTCAAAAAATGCCACTATTAAAAAATACAAATAATTTTCTTAGAAAGGTCAATATTGTAGATTTTATAATGTTGTATGTTCAGTGTTTAGAAATTGTACAATTATATTTGCTTTCAAAATTGTTTCCATGGTGTATTGATTTTCTAGTTATGAATGATGCCCCCTATAGTCACAGATAAGTGACATTTTGGGTTGCCATAATTCAAACTATTGAGTTTAGATATATCAAAGGAAATGATATAATTAGACTTACCTTAGAACGTAGCCTCCTGGAAGTATACTGTAATTGTGTTTTCAAATAGGAGTACTTTTTTATAACGAAATATATAAATTCAAATTGATGTACATAACGTCACTTATATATTTTTTCGTATTATTATACAATAAAAATTATATCCTTTGCTTTTCGCCCTATACCGGACCCATTCGACGATTGTGATTGTCCGTTTGTTGGGCCGGCCCACGTAGCACACCGGGCAGCAGACACAGCAAGCAGCGTTATTTCTCCGTGCACATCACAGTCCACAGAAACTAACACAATATTCCATTTCTTCAGCAGGCTTGCAACTTCCGAGCGAGTTAATTAAGCAACCATGAAGCCATGAAGTGACGAACTGCTGTGTGCACTGTGCAGTCTGCAGTGTAGCCAGGTTGAGCATCGCCTCAACGTACACTCATTTAAAATTTTGCACGAACGTTCACTTTATGCATTTTAAAAATTTATGAAAAAAAAATACATACAGTAGATCATGGATAATAATCGTCCTGTTCGCTTGGCTTATAAGCCGTACTTTTTTCAGCCAACGAATAATATTTTTCTCTCACAACAAATCAACTAACAGTACTTTCAGCCATGGCTTATTAGTCAAGCGAACATGGCAAATTATATAAAGATACATAATTTCATGGAAAAATTACAATAAGGCTCATTGGAAAGAAGACAAAGAGTCTTTAACCTTTTCTAAGGACAAATGGTATGTAGTCATTTGTCTTTTCTTTTGTGTATCTCACATGTGGTTAAGTTTCTCCATAACACTGTCTGTTAACATAAGGCTCTTGGATCCCTTCACTACGGCTAACGGTTAGCGGCTAGTTGAATGGGATCCAGACAGACTGGTTAAAAGGCAGGGCTAACAGTTAATCCATATCGAAGTAATGATTAGTTCATTAGTCAATGAGATCAAGCTAACATGAGCTAAAAGTGGTCCCGATGGGTAAAGAGCCCCTTCTATCCTCCGTCTCTCTCCTCTCCCTCTTAGCCATGCCTAGCGGTGGGGGAGGAGGACGAGGCCCACACCTCATCATTGATCTGCGCAGCACCCGAGGGCCAAGGGAACAAATGGAGGTGGACGACGAGGCTTGTGCCCCCCCCTCGAGTCCCTGTGCTGCTCCCGACCTTCACTGCTTCGGAGACTGCGGACGCGCTTGGTTCCTAGACAGCTTTGGCTTGCCTCGCCTCGCCCCGCCTTGCTGGCTAGGGATGGTAATTGTACCTGTGGTATTGTGTCTGATAGGTGTATGTGTGGGCACAAATTTTCACCCACGGGTGTGGGTATGGGTATAAGATTCTACCCCGTGCGCTCGTTAGTGCTCGAAATATGAGAAATTTTATCTATTTTAGCGATAATCCAACTCATGTGTGCAGGTACGGGTGTGGGTATGAAATTTTACCCGTTAGACAATTTGTCATGAGTGGCTATTTGTTTCACCCGCACCTTATCCTATCCGCTGCCATCCCTAGTTGAGATTGTTTGTTTGCATACTTTTGCATAGGAAAAGTTGGTGTTCTGAAACTACGAAAGCACATATGTTTGCATACTTTTGCATAGGAAAAGTTGGTGTTCTGAAACTACGAAAGCACATAACATTCTTTGGCATATGTTGTTTTTAATTTCCTTGAAAGCCCATTCCGAGGTGCATGTGGATTTATTTCGAATCTGAAATAAAACTGAAAACATATAGCTCTTGTTTGTATTTGAGGTATGACGATAGGATGCTGCTTGCTGACTGTATAGAGTGCCATTCCCATTATTATCACAGATATCATTCTCACGAGACGCAAGTACGATGCCTGATGATGGAAAGGCTGAGTGAGCATGCTGCTGCTTCAGAGTAGTGGAGTGTTCAGGAAGAGGTTATATCTAACTGCCCTTAGAAGTTTTGGAGAAATTACAGGGGGGTGGATTGTGGGATTGTCAGTCTGAGACCCTAGAGACCGTTAAAATCTAGTTCACAAGCCGGTCTGTTTGGATTATGAGTCATAATCATGCACCACTTGGTTTTCTGCCACTTGCTAGCATCATTCTTCTCGTTGTCCCGAGACACTGCAGTAGTCGTGCAGCTATAACAAATGGCCAGATCGGGTGAAGTTAGGATCTCGAGAGGGAGTTTTATATTTCCCAGTTCAGTTCAGTCAACTAGAGTTTGGCATTGGGTCTTGGAGATAGACCATCCTAATTTACCACACTTCGGCCTTATTTAAATGCGCATGTATTCATCTCAATCCACGTATGTTGAAGTGGACTAGAGTGAAATTAAACTAAATTACACTCAAATCCATTTCAACACATGTGGATTAAAGTGGATACACATCCAAACGAGGCCTACAGTCGATCGACGATTATCCGCTTCCGTTCACTGCGCTGCTGACTGGGTACAGTTTGGGCGCCACAACCAGAATCTTTGGCAGGGACCCCCAAAAGTCTTTGGCCTCTGAAAAACAGGTGGCCACAGAGAGCAGCAGCAGCAGGGTCTGCAACATGTGTTGCGAGGATGTTTGTGGGAGGCTCCCACATGCCGATGATTGCCCACATCACAAGTCGGGTGCGTATGCAGGTCTTCCTAGCATGTGCATGTCAAGTTGTGAACAGGGTAGGGAAGGAGGTAAGGCGCCGGTTGATCAGTGGACAGTGTGGTGCATGTGATGCGTGCGATGGAGCCTCGTTTGTGGACTAGCTTAGCTACCTATGTGGGCTATCCAACCGCAGCATTGGTAACTGTGAATGAAACAGGCTCTCTCAGTGTCGAATTTCATTTCACTGTTTCAAAGGTTAGCTGCATCATTTAATTCCTATATTGTGCTATGATCAAATGTGCCAAAACAAAGTTGTAGACCAACTATGCACATTTGGTTTATCCAGTTAGCACGTAGCAGCAACAAACTAGACACAGGTTCACATGTGCAAAATCTGGCCTCGTCACCATTCCACAACTAGACACCTTGACAAACAGGTTCACAAATGCAGTCACAGTGCATCGGAGCCTCCAACCAGGAAGCACTTCTACATCTGTTAGCTAAAGATATCAAATACATGCAAGGATTCACACAGGTTCTGCAATAGCAT